TGGGAGTTATGGGAAAATGCGGAATTTACTGTTAATGCTGCTTACTGCTAGTTAGGGGTTAACGGTTAAAAAAAAGGTTAGAAAAATGTTAAATCTGTGAAAAAAGTTTTAAGAAAGTTTAGGAAAGTTTAAAAAAATAATAAGCAAAACAAAAGTTTAAAAACTATTTTTAAAAAGTTATAAAAGTTTAAAAAAGTAAAAAAAATACATTTAAAAACACTCATTACCACTACACCAGGAACAAACTAGAGAAAAAATGATCCCACACTAAGGTTCAAAATATGCCTTTTAAATTACCCCAGGGTGTATTCTTTAATAAATAGTATGTGTTTGTGGGGAAGTTTCAATAACCAACCATCTAAACTACTCCAAAAAGGAACATGGACACAGCGTAAAACTTCAAAGTTAGAAAAACACTGAATGGCTGCATCTCAAATGTGCCCCTTCAACATCTACATATACCTGGCAAAGGTACATACGGGGGTATTGCTGTACTCAGACGACATAGCTGAGCAACATATGCAGTATTATACAGTCGTAGTACACATAAGGTTTGCAAAATATACTGCGCAAACTCACTTTGTGTGTAAAAAAGGCAGAAAAAACGCTTATCACCACTACACTTGGTACAAGTTAGCGGAAACATTATCCCATGCTAAGGTTCAAAATATGCCTTTTGAAATACCCTGGGATGTCTTCTTTAAGAAATGGTATGCCTTTATGGTGTAGTTGTAATATGTAGCCTGCTCAAGTGCTCCAAAGTGGAACACGGACGCATCAAAACCCTCCATGAAAATTCACACTTAAAAACCTGAACTTGTCACGTCTCTTTTACAGCACTGTAACTTCACAAAATAGTGCCAAAGACATACAATGGGGGTGTCATTTTACTCAGAAGACTTAGCTGAGCATAATTTTGGGGGTTTGAACTTAGTGGCACATATGAAATATACAAAATGCTCAGCAAAAATGTAATCCGTATGTAAAAAATGCCCAAAATAATTTTTTACCACATACTTTGGCATATATTGTTGAACAAATGGGGGCATGTTAAGGCACAATATGCACCATATGAGATACCCTGGAGTGTCTACTCTTACAAATGGTAGGCCTTTTTTTTTGAACAGTCAAACTGTTACAATACCCCAAATGGAAGCTAAGGCTCATGAAATCCATTTCTCTAAATTCTACTGTGAATACTGTAAAGGACAGGTCTCCTGTATGGCACTGTAGCTTCACGAAATAGTGCCAAAGACATACAATGGGGGTGTCATTTTACTCAGCAGATGTAACTGAACACAAAATAAAACTTTGTACATGAATAGCACACACCAACTTTACAAAATACACATGAGAAGTTCTTTGTTATAAGTTTGTGTGCCAAGAGGTTGGCGGTGAAATGGCTACGTAGAAAGTGTCAAAACAACCTTAGGTAAATACCCTGTGATGTCTACTTTATATAAATATAGACTTTTGTTTTCTTTTATAGCTATTAAGCTTACAAGACAAACATACCAAATTCTAAAATTGTTCCACATTAAAAGTTTATTTTACTCTTTGTGCTTTGTGACCTGTAACTACCAAAAAAAAAACTTCAAATCCCAGACTATATATTCTGTGAATCAGAACAACTAAATGAATTTATTTTTAATTACTTTCTTTAACCTGCACTAATTTTGCACACATTATTATTGCAAAAACTGTAAAAAAAAACAAATTTTTCATTTTTTTTGCATTTTTCTGTATTTCTTTTTATAATAAATAAGCATTTATATATATATATATATGCTACATCAAATTAAAGCCCTTTCTGTCCTTTACAAAACAGTATATAATATGTGTCAGTGCAATAAACGAGAGAGATGCAAATTGCAGATGAACGCAAAAAGCAAGAAAATGCAAAAATTGCTTGTGTCATTAAGCGTAAGACAAGCTTCTGAAGCTGTGTCCTTAAGGGGTTAAAGGCACTGATAGGAGGAGTGGTATTTATTTTTATCTTATGCCTCATACTATGCTGCTTGCTTCCATTAATTATTCGGTCCATACATAGTGTTATTCAGAGCACTATAGAAAGAAAGACAGCAGCTCATGTAATGGCCATCTGGAGATTTAAACCTCTAGCTCAAAGATAAATAATCCGTAATCAGGTCAGTGAGTTCTGAGAATTCATAAGATTCAGCCAGAATGCTCACATAGTTTTTCCTGTTTTGTAATTACCTGAGTGGTATTGGCAAAGTATGGTAAGTGATGCATCTGAAGTACTCGGTATCGGAAACATCAAAGGGGGGAATGTGATGGGATTTCAGCTAGGCCCAAAATTTTGTAGGCCTAAAATCTCCATGTGGCATATACAAGTACAGGTATCTATAAGTTAGTTACGTGTAGCCAGAGGCGTACCTGGAGCATTTGGCACCTGGGGCGGATCCTATATTTGTCAGGAAGGGCGGGATGAGTGGGGGTGATGGTGTGAGTGGAGGGGGGCTGATGTGAAAGGGAGAGGGGGGGTAACGGGGGAGACTAAATACCTTAATTCCTTGGTGGTCCGGTGTGCTCGCTGGTGGTCCGGTGGCCATAATATACGGTCTGCAACTCAGCAGAGCTGCAGACCATGAATCTTATGAGACACAGTCAGAGAGTTGCCGTGGTAACCCACGGCAACACTCAGATCAGATCTCGCGAGACACATGGTCTGCAGCTCTGCTCCCTGCGGAGCTGCAGACCGGTGTCTGCGATGGGCACAGGAGAAGCATCTCACCCAGCGGCATATGGATCAAGCCGCTGGGCCCCCCATCCTGGTGTCAAGTCCTCGGTCAGTGACCAGGACCCAACACAGTCTGCCCTGGGCACCCTGTGTAGCTAAGATACTGTCATAGGAATGTATTTTCCTATAACATATCTGGTTCAATTGGCCAAGAAGTCATCGCAGACACCACCGAGACGGTAAAAGTTTACCCACCTATCCACGGCAACACACTTGGATCGTCTCTGCGCCACTGGGCCTTCTTCGTCCAGGAGGCTTCTGCGCAGTGGGTATTGGGGGGTATCTGGTGTAACTATTGTCTAGCTAAGCTCTGGTTTATAATGTTTTGCTAAATTTTGATGTATATGCTGTTTAGCGGACCTTTGAAATGTAGATAATGTTTAATTACGCATGCCACCATAACCACTGACACCATAACTACCAACACCATAGCAACTGACACCATAACCACCGACACTATAACTACTGACTATTGATACGGGTTATAGTAATATTGGGAGATCGGGAGGTTTAGAAGTTGATTAACTGTAAAGATAATTGTATAGCTTTTTGTGGATTTTGACTTTGTTCTGTATGTGTGAGACGTCATTAATATTGTGAAACGTGTGAGAATCCTCTGCGTGTGTACGTGTGTTTTCTGGCCTGGTAATCGCACCATTAGTGTTACTGAGAAGGAGCTTTGTGTGTCGATTATAACTATGTTTGTATATTTCTACTGCCTTGAATCAGACTACCAGTTGCAGTAATGGGTGCGTACGATTCACAAATTGTTGATCCTTTGTCTTGTATGTTAAAAAAAAAAATACTTTGCTAAGGGATATACTGTTTGTGATTATCTTGTAACACTGTCCTCCAAAAGATTAAATACTTCATGTAGCAGAGAATGGTATGTTCTGGTAACCAGTAGCCTTGATCCAGATTTAATAAAGCAGGTTCACAATGTTATAACTAGTATACCGGGGGTTTTATGATCAGTTTTCATATAGTGATTGTTGGAAAACAGCCTAATTGGATCATGCTATGCCACAAGGAACAATGCCACCTCATGGTTGCCAGAACTCATTTGTCCACTAAGGCCTCCCCGAACCTGATCTCCTTTTACCAACCCCCTACTCTTTCTCCCGAGCTAGAACTGTTGTAGCTGGTGTTTCCACTTCCCCTGCCCCATTGTCTCCACCTACCCACTCACCTACCTCAGATACCAGCTCATCTGTCCTGGACACACCTATTCCTGTGCCTACCCCCACTGCAGTGGCGTACATACCGGGGTCGCAGGGGTCGCAGCTGTGACCGGGCCCAGCTGCCCTGCGACCCAGTATTTACCCACTGTTGTCAGCCTCTTCTCCTGGGGGGCCCAGGAGCCCCCCGAGGCTGGCCCTGCTATCACCCGGCGGGCAGGCTGGCGGGCGCGCGAGGGAGCACTCTCCCCTGAGTGCTTCCTCTTCAGCTCCCTTGCTCACTGCACTGATACCGGAGCCGGAAGATGACGTCACAGCGCTGACCGGGCCCCTGACCGGGCACTTGCACCGGCAGCAGTTCCGCCACTACACATGGGGCCCAGGCGGCCGGGTCCCCCAGGGCCGCCAGGCCCATGACAACCGTCATGCTTGTCACCCCTTGATGGCAGCCCTGATGCCAGGAAGCCCATGTGTGCTCTCTTTAATTTAAGGGGTTAAACCGCTCTGAAATGGTTTAACCTCAAAGGTTTCCTCCAGCTCCAGATCTCCAGGTCGCTCAGTGGTATTCGGCTTCTGAAACGGAGTGTCAGGAAGTGCAGATTGACGTCAGGCATGGGTGCTGCAGATTGGCTAATAAAAATTGGATTGGTTCATAAAAATGTTTTGCTTTTTTATGAATGGGGAGCTACTGATTGGCTTAGAGTGCCAGCTGACCGCTCTAGCCAATCAGTGACACCCCTACCCAGCGGCACTCTGTGCTTCCTGACACTCAGTAAATAAAAGTGAACACATTAACACTGATAATTTTTTTTTACCTGGAGAGATGAGAAGGTCCAAAGTTTCCCTGCCAGGCCCAGGTACCAAAGCCTTATGATGTGGTGTCCAGAAAGTGGAGGGTTCACTTCACTTGTCCTTCCTGCTCCAATCTCCTTTTCTTCTCCTTCATTTGACACAGTCTTCTTTTTCTTCTGACACTGTCTTCTCTCCTCCTCAGCTCTTTCTGCTCCTTTACCTTTCTGCTATTTTCTGCTTATTGTGCTCCCCCTTCTGCTCCTTTCTCTTTCTGATCCCTTTCTGGTCCTTGCTACCCTTTTCTGCTCCTTCTCCTACTTTAACTTTGTGCTCCTTCTGCTCCTTTACCTTTGTGCTACTTCTGTCCCTTTCTGCTCTTTGCAGACCCTTCCTTCTCCTTGCAGACCCTTCCTGCTCCTTGCTGCCCCTTGCAGACCCTTCCTGCTCATTTCTGCTCCTTCTCCTTCTTTACATTTGTGCTCCTTCTGTCCCTTCCTGCTCTTTGCTGCCCTTTCCAGCTCCTTGCTAACCCTTTCTGCCCCTTCCTGCTGACCCTTCCTGCTCCTTGCTGACCCTTCCTGCTCCTTGCTGCTCATTTCTGTTCCTTTGTGCTTCTTCTCCTACTTTACCTTTTGTGCTGTCCTTTCCAGCTCCTTGCTGACCCTTTCTGACCCTTCCTGCTTCTTGCTGACCATTCCTGCTCCTTGCTGACCCTTCCTGCTCCTTGCTGCTCATTTCTGTTCCTTTGTGCTTCTTCTCCTACTTTACCTTTTGTGCTGTCCTTTCCAGCTCCTTTCTGACCCTTTCTGCCCCTTCCTGCTCCTTGCTGCCCTTTCCATCTCTTTGCTGACCCTTCCTCTCCTTGCTGACCCTTCCTTCTCCTTGCTCACCCTTCCTGCTCTTTGCTGACCCTTTCTGCCCCTTCCTGCTTCTTGCTGACCCCTCCTACTCCTTGCTGACCCTTCCTTTAGGCTGCCTTCCCCATCCTCCCTTCCCTGATCTATAGGCTCTCTCTGCCCCCGCCTCACTTCCCTGACCTATAGGCTCTCTCTGCCCCCCCCCCATGCCTCACTGTCTCTGGCTGCATGTGCTGTTCCTCTGCGGATTCAGTCAGGAGAGAGAAGCTGGGATAATATGTAGCTTCCTATCCCTGTCTCTCTCTACACAAAGTATGGTATTGCAGTGTATTTTTAAACTCACACGAAAAATAGCAGAACAAACTGAAAAATCCAGGGGGGAGGGGGGAAGAGTGCTTCCTTCCCATATGCTTATTAAAGTGTGTGTGTTTGTGTATGTATTTGTGCAATTCATATGTATGTGTGTCTGTGTAATGTAAGTAACGTGATGCATCACATAGTTTTTAATATGTGCATTGCCGGTATATTTATAATGTTATTTAAACATGTCATTTAGCAGTCTCACCAATTAGGTGAATTTCATAGGATCCAGAGAGAATGAATAGGAACGTGTTTAAGTTGTTTTAATGGATTATGTACCAGGAGATATGTATCTCTCTTACTCTTTCCACTTCTGTTCGTGGGAAACTATTTGTACCCTATTCTCTGCTTGTCTTATGCACTCTAATACTCCATCAGTCTCTGTTTGCAACCGTTTCCATCTGTCTCTCCAAGCCTCTATTTTCACATTTTTCAAAATAAACGTTTTTTTTTCCTGTATAGTGCAGTGTTTCCACCCTCTTCTCCTAATCACTTCACTTGTCTGCTGTCTATATTGTAACTTTATTTCATTAACTGGATTATTTTCTCTTTCTCTTACTTTCCCTCCCCTCTGAATCCAGAGGTCCTATCTCCTCAATATTATGCCAATTAGTGATGTTGCGGACATAAAATTTTCAGTTCGCGAACGGCGAACTTCCGCAAATGTTCGCGAACGGGCGAACCGGGCGAACCGCCATAGACTTCAATAGGCAGGCGAATTTTAAAACCCACAGGGACTCTTTCTGGCCACAATAGTGATGGAAAAGTTGTTTCAAGGGGACTTACACCTGGACTGTGGCATGCCGGAGGGGGATCCATGGCAAAACTCCCATGGAAAATTACATAGTTGATGCAGAGTCTGATTTTAATCTATAAAGGGCATAAATCACCTAACATTCCTAAATTGTTTGGAATAACGTGCTTTAAAATGTCAGGTATGATGTTGTATCGATGAGGTAGTGTAAGGGTTACGCCCGCTTTACAGTGACAGACCAAACTCCCAGTTTAATGCACCGCAAACAACCGCAAACAGTCCATTTGCACAACCGCAAACTCCCCATTTGCACAAGATTGGATACCAAGCTAGCCATGTCCTGTTCCTTGTCCTCATTGATGTCATTGAAGGTCTCTTCCTCCACCCAGCCACGTACAACACCAAGGGTCCCCAAAAGGTGACAACAAGCCCCCTGGGACGCCTGCTGTGTTTGGTCTTCCACCTCCTCAAAGCCACCTTCCTCCTCTGACTCCTCTTCTTCAGACTGCTCTCTCTGCGTTGCCTCTATCTGCGTTATTATAAGGTGTGCTAAGTAGTACTATTCCTATCAGTTTAATCCCTGTTACGTCCCCTATCAGGGGACGTGTATATGACATCGATTTTAGGAACCGGGAGATGGAAAAAGATTCTTAGTTGGTCCACCTACTTCAAATTTGGGGCACTGCGCGTGCAATCTAATGTGCCACCAGATAGAAGTGGTGTGTTAAGTAGTACAATTCTTATCAGTTTAATCCCAATGTCACGACTACTAGTGTGGTCCAGCACGCAGAAACTATGTAAACATATACATAGGCAAGAAAAGGAAAATAAAAGGACAGAGCGTAAATCGGACCTTAGAATGGCCGGACTAATACGCTATTTTTTTTTTTTTTTTTTAAATCTACACTACTGTTACACCAGATATGAGTTGCACTGGTGTGACACTGTGCCCTGGCAGGCCCTGAAACGCACACGTGTGAAGGAAACTGACTGCTATTATATTACAGTCCAAAAAGTTTTGGTTTTTTTAAATGCAAGCTATTGGGACACCAGTTAGTGAGTGGTGGCACTGGGCAGGTCCTGAAACGCACACTCGTGAAGGAAACTGACTGCTATTATATTACAGTCCAAAAAGTTTTGTTTTTTTTAAATGCAAACTATTGTGACACCAGTGAGTGAGTGGTGGCACTGGGCAAGTGGGCACAGTATATGCTGTGAGCCTGACACACAGGCTGGCAGACAGGCAACTGCAATTACATTACACAGGAAAAAAAAAGCAGACTGATGTTCTAGCCCTAAAAAGGGCTTTTTGGGGTGCTGTCCTTACAGCAGAGATCAGATGAGTCCTTCAGGACTGTAGTGGACACTGAATACACTAGCCTAGCTATCAATTTCCCTATCAAATCAGCATCAGCTACACTGTCCCTCCTCTCACTAAGAATGCAGCTTCACAATGAATGTAAAATGGATGCTGTCCAGGAGGTGGGAGGGTCTGGGAGGAAGGGTCTGCTGCTGATTGGCTGGAATGTGTCTGCTGACTGTGAGGTACAGGGTCAAAGTTTACTCAATGATGATGAATAGGGGGCGGACCGAACAGCGCATATGTTCGCCATCCGTGGCGAACGCGAACAAGCGATGTTCGCCAGGAACTATTCGCTAGCGAACCGTTCAGGACATCACTGATGCCAGTCAATCTGCTTACTTTCAGTCAATTCTGTACACCAACTTCAGCCTTCCTCCCCACTAAAATCCCCAAGTCAAATTTCTCTCTGCTCTGTCTCCTTAACCCCTTCCCGACCGAGGACGGTTCAGGACCGTCATCGGGATTTTCCCATTGCAGACCGATGACGGTCCTGAACCGTCCTAACGGTTTCCGTTACTTACCTCGTCGTTCCCCCGGCGGCGATCAGCGTTGCTCCCGGTGTGGGGAGACTGCCTGCAGCCCAGACAGTCTCCCCACACTGATTTAGGACCCCTGGGGCCATGTGATCGCTTAACACAGCGATCACATGGTCACAATGGGTGTCCATGTGCCTGCCTGCAGGGGGACTGCCTGTGCTGACAGGCAGTCTCCCTGCTAGTGTAAAATCAAAAAAAAAAGTTAATGTTAATAAAAAAAAAATAATAATTATATATGTGTATATATGATATATAGACATATATCTATATAATATATGTCTATATATCATATATATAATGCCATACTAAGTGTATTTTTATATTAATATGTACTTATATTAATATAAAAATACACTTATAATTAAATTACACACGTATATATATAATATATATATAATAACTATATAGATTGTATATATATATTATTATAAAATATAAATAATAAGTAAATTAAATAAAAAAAAATGTAAAATAATAATAAAATTTTTAAAAAAAATTATATAGCTATATGAAATTTTATTCTAACTGTATTTTAAAATTAATATATATATATTTATATCAAAATACACTTAGAATGAATTTGTATATATATCTATATATATAAAAATAAATAAAAATAATACGAAATATACATATGTCCATATACAAAATTACATAAATAATTATATAAATATAACGTAGACTTCAAATATATAAATATGCATATATATTTAAATTCTACGTGCGTATTTATGTAATATTTTTACATAATTCAGTAATTTTATTGATTGCAATTTGAGGGACCTGCCTGCCAACCCAGGCCGAAATTCCAGAGAATTTAATTTGCTAGCACTGTATTTTACCCTGTAACGTTCTACGACACCCTAAAACCTGTACATGGGGGGTACTGTTTTACTCGGGAGACTTCGCTGAACACAAATATTAGTGATTCAAAACAGTAAAACATATCACAGCGATGATATTGTCAGTGAAAGTTACTTTTTTGCATTTTTCACACACAAACAGCACTTTTACTGATGATATAATTGTTGTGATACGTTTTCCAGTTTTTAAACACTAATATTTGTGTTCAGCGATGTCTCCCGAGTAAAACAGTACCCCCCATGTACAGGTTTTATAGCATTTTTGAAAGTTACAAGGTCAAATACATGGGTCAAATATTTTTACATTGAAAATGGCCAGGTTGGTTACGTTGCCTTGGAGAGCGTATGGTAGCCCAGGAATGAGAATTACCCCCATGATGGCATACCATTTGCAAAAGAAGACAACCCAAGGTATTGCAAATGGGGTATGTCCAGTCTTTTTTAGTAGCCACTTGGTCACAAACACTGGCCAAAATTAGCGTTCAATTAATTTTTTTTACTTTTTTCACACACAAACAAATATGAATGCTTACATTGACCAGTGTTTTCGACTAAGTGGCTACTAAAAAAGACTGGACATAACCCATATTGAATACCCTGGGTTGTCTACTTTAAAAAAAAAATGTACATGTGGGGTGTTATTCAGAGATTTATGACAGATAATAGTGTTACAATGTCACTATTGATAAATTTTAAAAATGCATGTTTTGAAACCGCAATATCCTACTTGTACCTATAGCCCTATAACATGCAAAAAAAAGCAAAAAAGCACGTAAACACTAGGTATTTTTAAACTCAGGACAAAATTTTGAATCTATTTAGCAGTTTTTTTCATTCGCTTTTGTAGATGAGTAAAAGATTTTTCAAGTAAAAGTCAAAAACATG